GATGATATGGGGTAGGTATCTAACTATTCAGAAGTATTTCAGAATATTTGGTTATTATTGAAAAATTATCAATTATTGATGTCATCGATGCTTAAAATATTTATTATAATTCAATACAGGCATGTAGCAACGGAAATGCAATTGTTCATCGTAGGATTGGTCTTACATTTAGTAACGAGGCGTTGCGGTAGAAGAATATTGTTGGCATTCATGTTACTAGTAGGTGCCGTGGCGCCAACAATTCACGTCCTACTGCAAGATATGGATCCTTTTGTGATTATAAACCCTGAGTATGTAAACTCTAATTTAGTAGTATTAGTTTTCTGTATTGATTATTTCGATGACTTAATACTTGTTTATAATGAATTTTTGGAGCTTTCTTTTTATTGATCTAAAATATTACTTAGGTATGTACGTACATATCATGATTACTATTATCGTTACAAACCATCACAAGTACACTTTTGAACATAGATTTTAAGTACATACAATCAACTTTTAATTGTTTTTTTACAATGAATCGGGTTCGAAGCCCTGCCAAGGCGCAATTGAGATGTAATGCACTCACGTCCGTACCAACTTACAGTTCTGTTAATTAGAACCCCCTCGGATTTCATAACATCAGCCCTTTCTCATAAATTATTTAAAAAATATATTTCTTATATTATTTTTTTTTTTGTTATTTATTTCTGCTTACAATAAAAAACTGCTAACAATAAATTAGAAATGTTTAAAAAATACAGAAGCACAGCAGAAGCCTTATGCAGATTTAAAAAAAAAAGAGAGAAAAAAAAATGTTCTTGTAGCTTGATTAGTTTTATCCGCAGCTACAAATTCCATATAATATTGTACCAGTAGTTTTTTTTAAAGGAGATGGGGCAAACGAGCATACCGCTCACCTGATGGTAAGTAATTACCGCCGCCCATGAACAATTGCAACACCAGGGGAATCGCAGATGCGTTGCTGGCCTTTTAAAAAGGAGTACGCTCTTTCCTTTAAGTTCCCTAATTGTATCGGTTCGGAAAAATCTCTGGTGGTAGTCGATTCCAAAAGGAAGTTGTGCGACGAAGAAAACTTCTTTTAAATCGCACAGTGGTGGACCGCCAGACATCCAGATTGTATGGATGGTATTGTGAGTTGAGTCACGATGTGCGATGGTGAATTTGTGCGGCTGGAATCAGTCCGAACAATTCCTCAGAGCACTTCCCGTGCTAAATGCGATAAAATACGCAAAAAGATGCAACACCTCTTCGCAGTGCCAGTAAGTCAAGCCAATCGGAAAGAGTTCGGTCGCCGACGATTCGAGCAGCTCTGCGCTGGATGCGATCAAATGGAAGGAGCCCAGCCCAGAGATGGGAACGGTATTCCACGTGCAGCCGAACCTGCGCATTGTAAAGTTGCATACGTTGTCAGTTGTGTCGGCATGAAATACTGTCCCGCTCTGCTGAGCACGCTAAGCTTTTTAAAGGCCAATTTGGCCTTCTCTTCCAAGTGACAACGAAACTACACGTCACTCGATATGTCGATGCTGAGGATTCCGATACTGGCTGAGGCAGCAAGGGGAGTGCCTTGAAACTGGGGACAAAGGAGTTCCTTTTAACGGTAAAAGAGCAAACTTGTGTCTTATGAGGTTTGAGCTGGACTAGATTTAGACGCCTCCAAACCGAGACTGTTCAACAAAGGCTCGACTGCAAATACAAATTTATTCCGGTACACGACGACGTTTTCCTGAGAAATATTGGCTCGGCCGGTGTATAAAGCATCAGCAGTGCTGTCATCGCCCATTTATGAATTAGGTTACCTAGAAGATCACCATCCGAGCGACTACGAAGGAAACCGTACTGACGGTACTAATCAGCTGGTGATCCTCAAGGTACCGCATGAGCTGACTGTTAACAACGGGCTCCATTAATTTAGAGAACAAGGAGGTGATGGTGACAGGCCAATAGTTACAGAGCGGTTACCATTTTTAGGGATCGAGTGGACGAAATCTGTCCTCCATGGATTCAGAACTACGCCTTGGTAGTAGGAGTACCAGAAAAGATGCGTTAAAACCGGTTCCAACTCTTGAGCACACGACTTCAGCACAATAGGAGGGACGCCATCAAGCCCACACGACTTGTTTATGTCCAGGGAGAGGAGTGCTCTGCGCACCGAGCGTTGGGTAAACAGCACATCCTGCATGGAGCACTCACACCGCAGGATGGTCGGCGGTGTGTTCCCCCTGTCATCAAGAGTCGAGTTGGACGCAAAGAGAGAGCCAAGTAGATCGGCTTTGTCCTTTGCGGCATGGGCCACTGAGTCGTCCTCCCTGTGCAGAGATGGAAGAGATGGTTGACAGCCTTGACGAGAGACCAGAAAGCACGTGATCCCGAAGGAAGACGAACTAGTTTCTAACCAATTCTGCCCATGCGCTCTGACTTTGCCCTGATAATGACACTATTGAAGGACCTGGAGGCGGAATTATACTTCTTTTTAAGAGCGCTGGGATAGCACTCTTGCTTATGGCGTAATGCAATTTTGCAGGAGGACCAAACTATGGCTGGATTCTGCCTCTGATAGGTACCACAGATGATTGAATAAATAGTTCCATTCACTGTAGCACCACATCAGTGACAAAAGCAGCAACAGCGCTGGGATCATCTGGCGAGAAGCAAATTCGCCCCCATTGGTAGGATGCAAAGAAAGACCGCATTCATAATCAGAATCCAAACCTAACTTGGAACGAACTTTCTTCCTTTTTAATCAAAGACTTTGGTGGTTTTGATTATGATCATAAACTTTTAGAAGCGATTAGGAATCGAACTCAAGGTCGTGATAAACCTATCGTCATCTATATTTCTATCATGTCTGGAATGTTTTCTCGTCTTTCGAAGAAACTTTCTGAAACAGAACGATTGGAGATTATTTTGAGGAATATTCGCCCATGTTATTCAGTCTTCGTAGCTTTAAAAGACATTGACTCTATCGACTCTCTTCTGGCTACTTGCCAAAACTATGAAAAATTCCTAGACAGAGACAAACAATTTAAAGAACCAAATGTACAACAAAGTCCTCTTATTTCTGAATTCAACTACAAGCATGGGTAAATAGCACATACTGCATGGAACACTCACTGCGGAATAGTCGGCGGTGTATTCTCCCCGTCATCAAGAGTCGAGTTGGGCGCAAACAGAGAGCCAAGCAGGTCGGCTTTGTCCTTTGCGGCATGGGCCATTGAGTTGTCTTCCCTGTACAGAGATGAGGGAGATGGCTGACAGAAGTTCCATTGGACAGCCTTGGTGAGAGACCAGAATGCACGTGTTCACGAAGGCAGACGAACTAGTTTCTCGCCAATTCTTTCGAGTCGGAATTATACTTCTCTTTAAGAGCACTGACATAGCACTCTTGCTTATGGCGTAATGCAATTTTGCAGGAGCGATTAAACTATGGCTGGTTTCTGCCTCTGATAGGTACCACAGATGATGGAATAAATAATTCTATTCCCTGTAGCATCAATAAGCTATAGAATCAGAAACAACTCTGGGATCAACCGGCGAGAAGGAAACCCGCCTACAAGGGTAGGATGCAAAAGAAGTTCGCATACCGTCCCAATCGGCTAACTTATAATAGCAAACACGGAGACAACCTAAAGAACGCAACCGCGATGGGAGCGTGAGTAGCACCCTGCTTTGGATCAGACAATGGTCCGAGGAGCCAAGCCAAGGGGCATCGACGGAGACCTGATATCCGTTTGGATGAGAGGTCAGCAGATGGTTCAACAGGGAAGTTACATTAATTTTCACATCTGAAATCCGCGTAGGTGAGGTAACCAGTTGTGTCAGACCATATGCCAAGGCAAAGCCATAAACAGGTCTCTACTCTCATGATCGGTTAAATCGGAACCAAGCCATTCAGCGTGGTGGGCGTCAAAATAATCAAGCATCATGATCTCTGCGGATGTGACCTGTTGTAGCACGGAATCTGCAGCCATTTGGACGTGGTCGATGGGTCGGTCTGTATCAGCATTGCCGCTATGGGACATATAGAGGAACCCGTAGACGCGGGGATGGTTGTCTCTGTCTACACGCAGCCATAAGGTGGACAGGTCCGTACCTTCAAGACTGCCGAGGCGCGAAAAACTGATGTTCTCTCTGACGTACACGCAATCTCCAGCCAGGGGCACAAAGGAGTGTTCTAATCTGTACTCCGGGTAGGAGAGATACGAAGTATCAGCTGGAGAGGACACCTGCGTTTCGGTTAGAAAGAGCAAGGTTTCCAGATGATAGTGGATAGCGTTAAGGTTTGAATGAAGTCTCTTGATTTGCAGAAATTCACCGATAGCGTGACAAGGGGCGCCTTTGGCTTATTGTGCAGGATAGATTGAAATTATGCACTAAGAAGAGCAATTATCAAGTGGTAGCCTGTTACCGTCAAGCTCTGCGAACGCATCTGAGATTCCCCTGGTATTGCAAATGGTCATGGGCGGCGGTAATCACTTATCACTAGGTGATCCGTATGCTCGTTTGTCCTATAAAAAGAAAGCTCGTAAGATTAATTTGTGCACTAGGAAGAGCAATTATCAAGTGGTAGTCTGTTACCGTCAAGCTCTGCGAACGCATCTGCGATTCCCCTGGTGTTGCAGTTGTTCATGGGCGGCGGTAATCACTTACCATCAGGTGAGCCGTATGCTCGTTTGTCCTATAAAAAGAAAGCTCATTAGATTAAATTGTGCACTAGGAAGAGCAATTATCAAGTGGTAGCCTGTTACCGTCAAGCTCACAATTGGGTTTTAGTTGTGTGGGATTTGCCATAATCGCCACTTGTAGGCGCCCTGGCGTTCGCAATACTTGTCCTCACTCTAGATTATTGTGAACTTTGCAAGACAGCAAGACGTAGAGCCATGTCTATTTTAGAGTGCAACAGAACATAGCGCCGTGCTAGTTACAACATTTTTGAACTAAGGATTGCTTTTTTTTGTTGTAGAGTATGCAGGTCAAACCAGAACGATACTTTTTATATGATGCATATTCTCGGACATAATAATTTAGCTGGGCACGTTGTTGGGATGATAACTGGTTACTTAGTATATCATATGCAAGAAAATGGAAAACCCATTGGAAATAATAAGGTTAGTTTTCATACTTATAAATAAAATCAGGCCATTATTTTGCAGAACATGGACTCTTGGTTCGTTACTTACATTTGCATGTAGCTTCATCGACGATGAGTACAGTTGTCTATAGAACCTCTTTTCTCATTTAAATTTCAGGTGTCCCAGGAGTGACGCTCCCGGGTGGGTCTTTAGCTATGAAGCAAAAACATTCGAGCATTGGTTCTACTTAATTGTCACTCAGTACGAGCTCTATTGAATCTATCTAAATCTCGCTGCATTCTGTCATTTAAGTGCATTTTTCTGTTCATTTGCTGGAAATATGTCATATCTGTTAAAGACTGGAGCTTAATTTTTTTCTAACAGTCATGAGATTAAGGGTATTATTGGAGAGTTTTTGTATCTTTCCACCATTCGGTGCTCGCTGTGCATTTTCACCCTAGCAATCACTGACTCTTCACTAAACAGTTACCGTCTGGTCATCGTAATAAAATTAATGTAATTTTCGTCGAACCGCCAGGGCCATAGACCAGGTCCACTTTCTGTGAGGATGCTTCTGGAAAAATAAAATCATCATAAGTAATTATTTCTTCTCAATTAAGTCGGTCAGCTGTTGATTCTTTGGGTTCCGTTGCCCCATCCAAATTTAATTATCCACAGCTTATAGTCTTTTTCTGTGCATTATTTTGTGTTAAGGTCTGCTGTTATATATTCATAGTATAGGCTTTGGAAGAATTTATGATTTTCGAGATATCCTCGTACATAATTTATACCTCCTCATCGGAATATTTTTTATTTTCTAGTTGATATTAGGAAGACGCTGCTGCCCATCTCCTGGTTTATTTTCCTCTGTCGCCTTTAATGACACGTAACGACATTGGGTTGTGGATTTTCTTAAAACGTTACTACCCGGTTAAATTATATGTACAGTTTAATAATAACAACTATAATGAGTATGTTTGTCTTCACAAATTTGATGTGTGTATGTTAAATGTAAATTTTGTGTGTCTTTTACATGGTTAAGCCAACGTTGCAGCATATTATGTCTGCAGCATGAATGGTTCGGTTTGACCGGGGAACGACCACGTACTCATAGAATTCCAGCACATTGATGCTGCTTCTATGTTAAACCGGAGATCCTTTTTACCTTAGTCCTCAGGTATAACAACGTATCTGTTCTGTCTATGGGCCACAGCGTCCACTAAAGATGTGTTTAGTAAGTAGTAAGAAGTTTGTTAACTTTAGTTTTATAAAAACAAACCTTCATGCAACAATGAACTTTTGTATTACACATTGTACCATGTAGACATACATGCCCATAAATAAACTTATTTTTTGTTTTTGAATTGAAACATAACTAAAATATTTGCAGATATTTTCGTTACTCACGTGGCTCATGTGGTGCGCATTGCCTGTGATAATTTATGTATTCTGGTTGGGGAGGATGTTTTATATTGATGGGTATGAAGTATCGCTTGCATTCAAATTGCTGTATGCAGCCACGCAGAGAGTTTTGGCGGGATCAATCGCCACGAGTATAATTTTTGGACTTGTCTTTAGGCTAAATGGTGAGTGTATTACTAGATCGATAAATTTATATTTAACTAACAAACTGATAACATTAGAAATGAGGATATCTGCAGTATAACCAGAGTAACCGACATAGCCCAACGGATTAGTAAGCTGAAGTGGCAGTGGGCCGGCCATATAGCTCGAAGAACCGACAACCGATGTGGAAGAAAGATTCCCGAGTGGCAGCCTCGTACCGGTAGGTGAAGTGTAGGGCGACACCTCACTAGATGGAGTGACCACCTGGTAAGACATGCAGGAAGTCGATGGATGCAGGTGGCTCAGGACCGTGCTTTATTGCATTCCTTGGGGGAGTGCTATGTTCAGCAGTGGACTTATGAAGGGCTGTAATGATGATGAATGATGATGAATAAAAAATATGAGTTAAAAATTAAAGTTCGTTAACAGTAATTGTTTTTGAAATGCTATCATTTCAGCCTTTTGCAAGGCCCCTGCTTAGCATAGACCAAGTAACGCCAAAAACGGTCCTGAGCCACCTGCATCCATCGACTTCCTACATATCTTACCTGGTCGCCACTTCATCTAGTGGGGGCCGTCCTACACTTTACCGTAACAACGCGTCAGTGGATAATCGTTGCTTATAAAAATACATAATACATAAACACTCACGCCTGTCACCCAGAGGGGTAGGCAGAGATTATGGACTTCTATTTGGCACGATCCTGACACACCTCTCTCGCTTCCTCCACATCCATATACCTACGCATACACGCTCGTCGGTTAAAGGTACTCTTGATTTGGCCCATTTTTAATATATCGCCAATTTGCTCGATAAACTTTCGCCTAGGGCGACCCTTCCCGACTATGCCGTTCACCTAATATATTTCTAAACTAAAAAATAATGAACTATAAAATGCATTTTAAATCTGTATTCAACCATTTTTCACAAAGAATGTAGTTTTTACAAGAATATTCTGTTCCTTTAATTATTAGGAGTCATAAGAATATTTTATTACTAAGTACTCAGTTATTAGAAATTCTTAAATCATTATTAAAAAACAAGAAAAATGAGATAAAACGACTAGATAGCTCGCGCTTAATACGATACAGCTAATGACCCTCTTATTCTTGGTCTGGTGAGATTCTGGTCAAATACTAACTTACCAGACAAATTTTATTTGAAAGGAGAAATAAAAAATAATTTTAATTTGTATTATATCTTACATAGAAAATTTGTCGTTAAAATAAATATTTTAGGATGGTTAAGCCAACAGAATCATTATATATGAATTTTCAGTTTTTATTTATTATCAAATATCATTTCATAAAAATAATTACACTTACGGTTTATATATCAATTTTGCAAAAATGTAAATAAATAAAAAAAAATTGAGCAAATTACAAACCACAAGACCGCTGGTTTATTATTTAATTAATACCCAGCAAATATAAAATTATATTTGTCTATAATTAATAGAATCAGGCGTTACTTTGCGGAAATCCATTATATAAAAGCTTTTACAAAAATTTACTTCGCAAATATCCGCGTTATAAAATAAAATGATGTGTCTTACCTAGTATGAAGAAGCACCTCCCGCCCTCCCTCAATTGCGTGCACTATCCCCGTCACCACTAATCCCAGCACCGCTACTTCCAACACCACTACACTAGGCAAGACACACCACTGACGATAATACGACACGTGTTTCGCCTCTACACGAGGCATCCTCAGGTGATATAGACTCTACGGTGGCTAACCGCTAAGTGAGCGGCGAGCCAAAACAAGTGCCTTTTATACAAACCGATGATGCAACCGCTCTCCACCTAAGTAGCGAGCGACTGCGTCATGCGATAAAACATGCGACCAATCACCGCTGGACTTACGCAGCCGTTTGTAAAATTAAAAACAAACCACCGCGCAACGCCCACATTATTAGAGAGCAGGCTTGAAGATATTTAAGAGAGGTGAGTTAGTAACATTTGTTTGTTCATTCAGCAATGCAACGGTATTATTATTACTTTTTAATATCTCTAACTGTTCCAGCACACACAGCCGCAGCCCTTTATTACACGTATGTAAGACTTTAAAGGAGTGGTCGTTGGCTAGGTTGTGTCCAGTGTCCAAAAGATGTTTGGCAAAATGGGATTTATCGGGATTGCAATTCCTGTACGCGGCTAAATGCTCTTTATAACGTGTCTCGAAATTGCGACCAGTCTGACCCACGTAAACGGCGTGGCATTCGTCACAAACAAGTTTGTAAACACCTGACTTTTGACGAATATCCAACTTATCTTTACTATTACAGATATTTCTAAGAGAATTGTTTGTTTTGAACGCCGCAGGAATTGCAATCCCGATAAATCCCATTTTGCCAAACATCTTTTGGACACTGGACACAACCTAGCCAACGACCACTCCTTTAAAGTCTTACATACGTGTAATAAAGGGCTGCGGCTGTGTGTGCTGGAACAGTTAGAGATATTAAAAAGTAATAATAATACCGTTGCATTGCTGAATGAACAAACAAATGTTACTAACTCACCTCTCTTAAATATCTTCAAGCCTTCTCTCTAATAATGTGGGCGTTGCACGGCGGTTTGTTTTTAATTTTACAAACGGCTGCGTAAGTCCAGCGGTGATTGGTCGCATGTTTTATCGCATGACGCAGTCGCTCGCTACTTAGGTGGAGAGCGGTTGCATCATCGGTTTGTATAAAAGGCACTTGTTTTGGCTCGCCGCTCACTTAGCGGTTAGCCACCGTAGAGCCTATATCACCTGAGGATGCCTCGTGTAGAGGCGAAACACGTGTCGTATTATCGTCAGTGGTGTGTCTTGCCTAGTGTAGTGGTGTTGGAAGTAGCGGTGCTGGGATTAGTGGTGACGGGGATAGTGCACGCAATTGAGGGAGGGCGGGAGGTGCTTCTTCATACTAGGTAAGACACATCATTTTATTTTATAACGCGGATATTTGCGAAGTAAATTTTTGTAAAAGCTTTTATATAATGGATTTCCGCAAAGTAACGCCTGATTCTATTAATTATATTAAAGAGGCTAGCACGGCCGACCAGGCAAGACTCTATGTCAAATTAACAAAACTCCATCGTATTGCTGCCCAAAATGTTTGGTTCAATCAGCAGTGCAAACAACTTCATGTTATTCCCAATTATATTCAAATACGTTCCAGCACAAATAGTCGAGCGGCCAGTATTGCTATTTCTAAAGCTCAGAACATTTGGCTTAATGAGGAGTGTCGTCGTTGGTTTTCCAATAGAGATAATTTAAAAATCCACCTTAAAGTATTATACTCTGAACTTTCATATAAATTACATAATATTGAATTTGATATTTTGGATGGGAAAGCCAGAAAACTTGCTTCAATGGCTGTTTATGAGAAATATCAAATTCAGTCCCGTAAATTACAACGACTTGTATCCTCTTCATCCCGTAATCGTAATAACGACATACATACAGAATATCACCAATTTTATCCCCGAGTTAAAAATCTTTCCAATGTCCAGTTTCCAACAGATGAATTGTCCCTTTTACATAAAGGCCTTAAGTATAATTTAACACCTTCGGTCTCCCAAAAATCGTTAGAGACTATGGCTGTTGACGCGGAGGTGGCTGTTGTGATCGGGAAGAAAGATAACATCGTTAAAAGTTTGGTAGCTAATGAAATTCGGGCTGTGCCCGCGTCTTCCCATTTCAATCCTGAGTTCCCTGTTTTTAAGTCCCTAAAGCAGAGAATAAGGGAAAACGACCTTATTGTTACTAAAGCCGATAAAGGCAATACTGTTGTTATTATGGAGAGTAGTGGGTACAGCCAGAAAGTTAACGATGTTATCCAAGGTGATGACTTTGAGCTATTGGAGTCTGACCCAACCAAAAAGTTTACTTCGGATATTAAGTTATGTATACAACAATCATCATATGTTTTTCCCGATCACAACTTGTCTCGGAGCAATCTTGTTCCAATGAATCCTCAAGCACCCATTTTATATGGGTTACCAAAAATACATAAAGAACATGTTCCTATTCGTCCAGTTGTCTCATATATTGGTGCACCAGCTTATTTCCTTGCTAAAAAATTAAACTTCCTCCTTCGAGAGAAATCTGGATTCAACCCCACTTACAGCCTAAAAAAAGGCTTAGATCTCATTTCCAAAATTAAAGATATTCGTATTCCTCCTAAATCCATATTGTTATCTTTAGACGTTGATAGTCTTTTCACAAATGTCCCATCCCTTGACTGTTTGCGTATACTCGCAGATCTCTTTGAAAAACGTCGTCTACATCCCGGGGAAACAAATGATCTTCTTAACTTAACCTCTCTCTGTATGAAACAAAACTATTTCCGGTTTAATAACCGTTTCTATCTACAAAAAGAAGGGTTAGCTATGGGGTCCCCTCTAAGTCCCCTTATGGCGGACATTTTCATGGATAATTTCGAAAAACAACATATAGTTGTGAATCAAAATATCTTATATTACTATCGATATGTAGACGACATTATTATTTGCTGGACTGGCACAAGGAGACAACTGGATGTTTTCCTCAATAAAATAAATAGAGTCCATGACAAAATTAAATTTAAACTTGAATTGGAACAAGATTGTTCCCTTAATTTTCTTGACTTAACAATAACAAGAAAAGAATCGTCACATGTTTTCCAAATTTATCGAAAGCCAACTCACACCGACACGGTCATCCCCGCGTCATCATGTCATCCATGGCAACATAAAGTAGCCGCTTTTTATTGTTACATTAACCGTTTGTTCACTGTCCCATTAAGTAAAGAAAATTATTTAAAAGAACTTAATATAATTTATCAAATAGCGGTCTCTAACGGTTTTTCAAAAAATCTTATTAACAATTTAATTAAAAAGAAACAAAAGCATGTTATTCGCAACTCTCTGTACGCGGTTCAACCTCAAAGTGTTCATCGATATGTGAGCAGTTTGACCTACTTAGGCCCCATATCTGAAAAAGTAGCTAATACTCTTCGACAAAACGGCGTTCATGTGGCGTTCAAAACAAACAATTCTCTTAGAAATATCTGTAATAGTAAAGATAAGTTGGATATTCGTCAAAAGTCAGGTGTTTACAAACTTGTTTGTGACGAATGCCACGCCGTTTACGTGGGTCAGACTGGTCGCAATTTCGAGACACGTTATAAAGAGCATTTAGCCGCGTACAGGAATTGCAATCCCGATAAATCCCATTTTGCCAAACATCTTTTGGACACTGGACACAACCTAGCCAACGACCACTCCTTTAAAGTCTTACATACGTGTAATAAAGGGCTGCGGCTGTGTGTGCTGGAACAGTTAGAGATATTAAAAAGTAATAATAATACCGTTGCATTGCTGAATGAACAAACAAATGTTACTAACTCACCTCTCTTAAATATCTTCAAGCCTGCTCTCTAATAATGTGGGCGTTGCGCGGCGGTTTGTTTTTAATTTTACAAACGGCTGCGTAAGTCCAGCGGTGATTGGTCGCATGTTTTATCGCATGACGCAGTCGCTCGCTACTTAGGTGGAGAGCGGTTGCATCATCGGTTTGTATAAAAGGCACTTGTTTTGGCTCGCCGCTCACTTAGCGGTTAGCCACCGTAGAGTCTATATCACCTCAGGATGCCTCGTGTAGAGGCGAAACACGTGTCGTATTATCGTCAGTGGTGTGTCTTGCCTAGTGTAGTGGTGTTGGAAGTAGCGGTGCTGGGATTAGTGGTGACGGGGATAGTGCACGCAATTGAGGGAGGGCGGGAGGTGCTTCTTCATACTAGGTAAGACACATCATTTTATTTTATAACGCGGATATTTGCGAAGTAAATTTTTGTAAAAGCTTTTTTATATTTGTCTGCTTGTTCCGGATGACCAATCTTTTTCGACGGTCACCGCTTGGACTATACAGTGTTTTCTTTTTTGTGTATAATAACATGTTTATTTCTTGTGTAGTGACAGTGAGAGAGTATCCACTACCCCATATATTCCCATGGGTGTTGTTAGAGGTGATAGAGGAAAACTGAAACAGGAGATGTGCAGCAGCATCTTCCTAATCACAACGTAAAATAATAAAAACATACGGTTACCAACCCGCCTGCAGAGCGTGACAACTAAGACCGCCCTCCTACAAGGCAATACAAATGGGGGAGGCCTATGTTCAGCAGTGAACTATTATGGGATGTGATGGATGGAGGAGAGATGGAATTTTTTAATTAATTTTATAGTTAGCACATACCTGGTGGAATGGTTTCTTTTTAATCATTTTGTTTTATTTATGATCGTAATATTATGATTATAAATAAACAAAATATTACAAGAGCTGGTTGGAATGACAAAACAGCTTCGAATTGCAATTTGCACACGCCAACAAACACTGTTAATAGAATAGAATAGAATAGAATAGAATAGAATAGAATGATTTTTATTCAATATGGATTACTACATAATACTTATTGAAAGTCATTATTTTATTTACCACTGGTTCGGAAAATACCTCTGTCCTGGGAAGAACCAGCAAGAAACCCAGCGGGACTTTTTTTTTTAAACATAATTTCACTTAACAATAATTTTGATTATACAATTTTAATGAATTTTCATAGAACCAGCATGGTGGCGATCACCTTATTCCCAGGGGTTATTTTCACTCATGTATTCCTTGATATTATAATAACCCTTTTTGTACAGTTTTTCTTTAATAAAACTTTTAAACTTGTTTATTGACAAACTTTGAACATGTTCTGGGATTCTGTTGTAAAAGCGTATACATTGCCCCATAAATGAATTACTAATTCTGTGGAGTCTTGTAAGTGGCATTACAAGCTTATGTTTGTTCCTAGTGTTTAAGGTATGAACATCCTTATTCTTATTAAAGCTATTTATGTTTTTATGTACATACATTACATTTTCATAAATATATTGCGATGCCAAAGTTAATATGTTTATTTCTTTAAATTTTTCTCTAAGGGACTCTTTACAATTTAGATTATAAATCGCCCGTACAGCTCTCTTTTGCAAAACAAATATAGCTTCAATATCAGTCGCATTACCCCATAGCAAAATTCCATAAGACATTACGCTATGAAAGTAACTAAAATACACTAACCTAGCTGTCTCAACATCTGTGAGACTTCTAATCTTTCTTACAGCATATGCTGCAGAACTAAGTCTGCTTGCTAATTTAGATATATGGGGGCCCCATTGAAGTTTCGCGTCAATAGTAATACCGAGAAAAACAGTGGTATCCACAAGACTCAACTCCTCCCCATTTAAGAGCACATTGGTTTTCGAATGTTTTACATTAGGTATTGTAAATTTAATACATTTTGTCTTATTGCCGTTTAAGAGCAAATTGTTGGCGTTAAACCAATGTACTAGTTTCGATAGAGCATTATTTACATCGTCATATTTAATTGACTGCCGTTTCAGTTTGAAAATTAAAGAGGTATCGTCAGCAAATAATACTATATCGTGATTGTCCCCTACAAGATAAGGTAAGTCATTAATATAGATTAAGAACAGGAATGGGCCAAGAATCGAGCCCTGAGGAACGCCCATTGATACTACCGATCCGGAGGAACATTTACCATTAATGACGACTTTTTGAGTTCTGTTACTTAAATATGAAGTAATAAGTTTAAGCGCCAAATTTTTTACACCGTAATGTTGTAGTTTCCTGATTAATGTATCATGATGAACACAATCGAAAGCCTTGGAAAGGTCACAGAAAATACCTAAGGCATCTTGTGAATTCTCCCAGGCATTAAAAATATATTTCATAAGCTCAACACCGGCGTCAGACGTCGAGCGACTCCTTGTAAAACCAAATTGATTTTTATGAAGTAATTTATTTGTATTAAAAAAAATTAACAATTGATCCAAAATTATTTTTTCAAAAATTTTACTGAGAGTTGGTAGTACAGAAATAGGTCTATAATTAGCGGGGTCCAATGTACTACCAGATTTAAATAAAGGTATTACTTTACTATACTTCATTAAATCAGGAAACACACCAGAATCGATACAAGTATTAAAAATAATAGCAAGATGAGGTGCAATTAAATCTATTATGGACGTAATCACTGTAACGGAAATCCCCCACAAATCTGCGGTTTTCTTTACATCAATGGTTTTGAAGTATTTTACAATATTATGCGGTAATACTTTTTCAAATCTAAATTCTTTTAAACAGGTATTAACATTCTGTTTAAGTAATGATTCGGCGACAGTTGGAGAAGCATTCAATGACTCTGTTGTCAAGATAGGAACATCAGTGAAATATTTCTCAAACACCGCTGCAACTTCTTGATTTGATTTAGTCAATTCATTATTAATTTTTAATTGATAGTTTGAATTACGAGGTTTCTCATTACCGGTTTCGCTGTTAATTATACTCCACGTCATTTTAATTTTATTCTTAGCTGTCTTAATTTTGTTACTAATATGTAATGATTTGGCTGTGGAGCAAACTCTTTTAAACATTTTAGAATAATTTTTTACATATTCTTTAAAAGCATCGGAAAGATTATACGATCTTTCATGGTAAAGGTCATATAACCTTCGTCTGCTTTTATAAATTCCTACTGTCGCCCACTCATTAAATGCCTTGCGACTGTTTCTGGAGAATGTTTTAGAAGTGAATGTTTTATTAAATTCATTGTTTATAAAGGTAAATAATTCTCTATATAAATAGTCTGCATTGTTCTTATAAGAAAGGGATGGAAGGATTTTTAACATATTACTTCTAAATCTCTCCAGGCGTTTTGCATTAATAGGAACAAACACAATTTTCTCATTTACCTGTTTTTTGTGCATATAAGGTAACGAAACCAGTTGTCCACAGTGATCTGAACTAAGTTTTTGAATTATTGATTTGTTGATTGGTACAACACCTGTAAAAATATTATCAATACAAGTTGCACTACACCCTGCAATACGTGTAGCTTCAAAGAATAAATTATTAAGATTATAGGATTTGAACAAAGAACAGAATTTAATACTGATGGAAGAAGTTTCCAGGAGATTGATATTAAAGTCTCCACACACTACAAGAGATTTATTCTGTTTATTAAGCTTAACTAAAACTTCTTCCATAATTTTTTCAAAAGTATCATAACTTGAACATGGGGGTCTGTAAACACTGACAACAATAAGGTGCTCAAGCTCAACACATGCCATTTCTACAGTACGCTCAACAGAGAGGCTCACAATGTCTTTACGTTCTTTACATGATAAGGACTTATTAGCTAATATTAAGGAGCCACCACGTAATTTAGTATCTCTATTGAACGAACTGACCACCTGGTGATTACTGAAATTAAATATGGAGTTGTATTCTTTCAACCAATGTTCTGTAATACATAAAATATTTATATATATAATAGAGCCTCGGTGCGGTAGGTAGTTGTTCGTGGTCGTCAATTGCCTGAAATACCTGCACTATGGGAAACCACCCATAGTTTTTACATTAGCTCGCTTATTTACTTTTCAATAAATCTCATTTTTTATTTTTAATGGATTTCATTTACGAAATAAAATTTTATTTCAAACAGGGATAGCTCACACACTCAAAAATATCCTATCTATATGTTAATAAGAGCTGCTGATTATCTAATAAAATTAAATTTACTTATTTTAGATACTCTGTGCAGCATATTCGAGTGGCGTGGCTGGGTGATTCCTAGCAGACTTTCGTATGCGGTTTTATTAGTCCACATGAACATCGTTTCTGTAATTCTTGGAACCAAAACGCAATTAGGACATTCCTCCACCTTTTTTGCGGTAAGGAACTTTAAATTGTAGTTGAATTTTTAACAATGCCATGTCTATACGATTTTGTTTAGGCGCAAAGCTGAAATGATAAAGTAAAGTTTTAGTCAATGTATATTTACTATTATTAATCACAGTTCTCCTGCTAAATTTTGTGTGATTTACCTTTGATTTACCACTGTTGCATTTATGTGAAGAATAAATAACTACAAATTAGTTCAGAAAGCATAAACTTGCAAAACAATGCATACGTCATGTTATTGATGACATCCAATCACAACCCTGCGCCTATTTACTCAATAGTCAACATGTGACTTCATCGACTTGTCATGCAACGGGACTGAAACTTTCACTGTGGAACTAAAAGAGTATGTTATTTATGACATTGAAACTCGCATCACCAAGTCGAGTCTAGTCTTATTATTTTTATTCCAAATTGGTCTTTACCAAGCACTTTTAAAAAGTTAGTCAGAAAGCTAAATTATTGCTTCAATAAATCTCTATTGCGTGAGACCTTGTGGGAAATGGCGAGAAACTTGCAAAGTAGACTACTTTCTCCTAGCAGTTACAATTTTACCATTTAAAAAATGTACATAAGTAAAGGAGTCTAACGTTTCTTATGTTATTTTACTATTAGTCTAAGAATTCTTATTCATTTTGTCCACGCATTTTTACCTTTTAAATAATCATGTAGTTTTATATGTACTATCATCATAAGAATGCTTTACAAGAGCATGTACAACATTTGTGAATTTATGCAAAGGCAAATAGGTAATACTATAGTAATATTATATTAAATAAATAGTTATACGTACCTCGTACTTCAGAACGAGGGAAGTTTAACTACTCGTAAGTCCTAATTACACTAGGTACCTATGACGACTGCACAATCTAATAAAAAATCCATTTTGTTACAGTTGCTGAATTATTTTAGTATTGTAACGATGTCATTCCTTTTAGCTTTACCGCTTTATTTAACCGTCGAAGCGCCAATTAGCAAGATGGTAAAGAGAATGACCGACCAGCAAGATAACCAGTATTCTAAGAAGAAAAAAAACTAATAAATGTGAAATAATTACAACTACATTACGAGTTTCATTTAATATTCGCTAGAAACACATGTAGAAGCTATTGTTGAAAATATTATAGGGTAAGAGCACATGAGTAAAGTAACCGACATGAGCAAGGCTTCTAAGGAGCGTTCAAAATTTTTTACCTATTTCATTAGGGTTGACACAAAAAGATAATATTAAATAAACAAAAGTTTTATTAGCTTTTTATTATGTAACTATGATTAATTTGTTTTCGCAAACTACTAATTTAACATATTTTATTCTCACTTTTTTTTGTTAGGTATTTGAATATTTCTTTTTGCCTTTTAGTTGAATGGTAAATTTTAAATGGAATATAACATTTATGTCTTAAAAAGGTAATCTAATAGAAGGAACTTACATGCGGAACTCAAGCGCACAGGCGCGCTATCGACGCGGAGATCGATCATAAAGTGAATAGGTTGGGTGCTATCGGAAGTAGGAAGGCGACCAACGAGTGATTAGAACGAATGTAATAGTTAAATGATTGGATGTGTAAAACGGCCATTCCAGTTATGATATTGAATATTATTGATTTGTACATTTTAATGGCGCCAAGATCTAGAAAGACACTAATCTGGACCAAAACATTCAGTTATTCATTTAACGGGACAAACTAACGAACGATCAAATAGACAGATCCACAAACGAACGAATTGACGGACCTACAAAGCAACCAAAGAAATCAGGTGGGTTTTCTATCAAGAAATTCTAAATAGCAACCCAGAGTCAAGATTTTGGCGGTGCGGTGCGGTATCTCCTGCAAGCCAATCCAACTTGTGTTCATCTCGACTCACCGCAGATTTACAAGGCAAAATTCTGGCACTTGCTCCGGCTCATCTTTCTCACCGAAATCACTTGCAAGTGCGTAGTATGGCATGCATTACATACCAGCATATCGTTCACACCGGCGTCACTTGCCCTTACCCAAACAGCATGCATTCCCAACCGGCATTAAGGATGCACCGGAAATCGGATTCTTAACGCTGCTGTGTTTCGTATGGTGAATGAAGAGAACCGGAGACCCTTTTTTCTGGTAACCACCATACATTGAAGCAGCGCAACCGACACTTTTTAATACCCTCTTAGAAATGAGAGGAAGCCTGTACCCAGCTGTAGGGCGTATATAGGCTGTAACTTTAACTTAAATAAATCCAATCCTTCAGTTAGAAGCTATCGAGATTATAAAATGTTAAACAGAAGGAATATGCCGCGGTGTGACACCTTCTTCATTTCATCCGCCGGTGTGTCTGTACACTCCGGTGCGTGAAAAGCGAAGAGCACCCCGTCTCTATCTATGCGCTGCTCGGGAAGAAATAACGTCATTTAATTCTTATTAATTTACAAGCATTGTATTTGAACTCTACATAAGCCATACAAATACTTGTTCCGATGCGATGCGATGCGAGTTCTGAACCCGCAGCCCTCAGCGCCGCAACTCATTGCTAAGCCACTGCGCCACGGAGCCTTTCTATGATAATTTAACTTCAACAATTATTGTTTTTTACCTGTAGCAGTAATTGGGCACAATCCCACCAGATGGTAAGTGGTTATACATTCTAAGATTATGACTCTTTCCTTGAAGATAACCACATTATTAGTGCCTATTATGCACGATATATTTGATAATGTGTCTTGGTATTTAATTACTCCTACCAAAAACCGTTCAAAACGTATGTGCATAATTTTATTATTGATAAATTACAAGAAATTTTGACGAAGCTGGAAAGAGGCGGGAAGAAGACGAAGGTTAAAAAAACAGAAAAGAAATGAACCACAATTCAAAGTGACTCTAGCGTGAAGTATTTATAATAAAAGTGTTTTTAGGGTTCCGTGCCTCAAAAGGAAAAAACGGAACCCTTATAGGATCACTTTATTGTCCGCCTGTCTGTCTGTCTGTCAAGACCCTTTTTCTCAGGAACGCGTGGAGGTATCAAGCTGAAATTCATATCAAATATTCAAGTCTACTGTATCTTAGAGCTGTGAAAAAATCAAACTTTTAAGCAAACGCTATCTAAAGATACAGCCGTTTATGCCGTAAATTTTCGACATTCGCAAGGGAATAAAAACCTACAGGGTACTTTCCGTGAACTCAGAATCTTGAAATTTGGTACGAAGCAACGTTTTATAGCACAGATAAAGGAAAAATTGCGAAAAGCATAAATTTTTAGTTATATCATATAATAAAAATATTTTTAATAATTTGAAACTTATATACCTACAGATTTGTTCGGAACCCTCGGTGCGCGAGTCCGACTCGCACTTTGCCGGTTTTTTTATTTAATCGTATGAGTAAAATTAATAAACATTATTTATAAAGTTACAATAGCATAACGTTCGTTATCAAGTTCACAAGCAATATCGTTCAAGGTGTGCGAATTAACACATTTATTTATTGCAGAATATAGCATACTCATATAATAGCAAAATTATATTTTTTTTCTTTTGAAATGAATCCGTGTTACAAATAATTTTGCAAATTTTTTACGTACCCATTTGTTATGTGTTGCCTGCTTCAATGTATGTATTCTTGTTGGGAAATATATTTTTTATTAAAGGATATGAAGTATCCTTTGCATTGAAATTGCTTTATGCAGCCATGCAGAGAGTGGTCGCGGGTGCTTTTGGCGCAACGATACTTATTGGGCTTGTCTTCAAGCTAAATTGTAAGTGTAATCATATCATTTTATTTATATTCAGTTATTTTAAAAATTAAATTAAAAAACACATGCATTACATGCATTAGTGTCGTGGGACACTCGGTCGGAACGAAGTTCCTTTCGTAGTATATTATTATTGATAAACGTATTATATTATTGATTAACAAATACAAATGAATGAATTACTAGCGTATATTAAAATGAAGTATCATTTTAAGTAAAATATTTCTTTCATGGTAAGATAAGAAAAGTGCGAGGTGAAGTGGAAGGATCTTATTCGATCTCGCTTCCTTATAGTCGTGACGGAAAAGTCTTATACTTTTTGTCACCTTTCCCCCATCCGCAAAATCCTAAATAAAGAACTTTGTTCCAAAAATATTTCATTGTCATTATTATCATCACAGTCTTTGGCAAATCCACTGCTGAACATAGGCCTCCCACAATGAACGCACAAAAACGCGCTACTAAGTCTTTTGCATCTTTTTACTTCCTAAATATCTTAGCAGGTCATCAATCCATCGAGTAAGAAGCCACCCTATACTTAGTTTGTGAAAATGTGGCTGCCACTCGTGAACAATTATTCCCTATCAGTTATCGGTCCTTTTAGCTATATGGTCAGCCAATTAATTTTTCAGCTTACAGATCCGTAGTTCTTTGTTGGTTACTTTGATTCTACTGAAGATATCCTCATTATGAAGTTTATTACAAAGGGTAAAAGTAAAAGGGAAACTTTTAAGACCTTAAGTTATGTTTCTAACCAGTGAAATTTTTTGAGACGGGCTAGATGAGAGGTAACAGAGTGTAGTTTAGTTATGTGGTAGAGCCATGATGCAGCTCTATTAGTAGTATAGTTGTAGCACGAATGGGTCGGCTCGACCGGGGAAGGACCACACTCTCACAGAATACCAGCGTAAAATAGTAACTTAACACTGCTGTTTATGCCCAAATTTGGTCATGTTCAACGCCATCCAATTGCGTTCGAGCTGTCGCGTCACCCGATAGTATGTAGGTGAAAAAACGCCGCCAGGTGGGGCGGCGGTGTGCGGCTTGTGTGGCTCGACGCGTGGGCGAAGGAGAGGAGTTGCCCACTGGCCGCGATGCGGGCAACCCGCGTAGCTCGTTTATCGCGGCCGAAGTTCACGCGACCGTTGAAGGGTCCAGATAGTTAGATTAAGTGCGTGTTACTTCGTTACGTGGATATGTGAATTTTGCAATATTTAACTTGTTCGGGGATGCGGAATTGTGCACGCGCACGGCGAGTAGATATACGGTCTAGGATTCGAACCGCGCTTTCCTTGGTCGAGAGCGTCTCCCGGTTGATTGTCTGGGAATCATTATAATTGTGCCGTCACGTTAAGTGCCCTTTATTGTGTGTTGGTTGGCTTGTTAGTTTACGTGTCAACGAGGCGTATTTTGAATTCTTTTCGCGACGTTGTGTTTTGGTGTCGAATGAAGGATCTTAGTGTTTAACGCTGAACCGTATGACTCCTTAAGAGATCGCTTTTATTCCCTATTTATAATTTTGTGATAAGTGAATCCGGGACATTGAATGTCGAATTTTGAACTACTGTCCTTACTGTGTCGGGAATCACGTGTTCGATTCTGCGATGATTGTGGAATTAGGCGAGTTTAAGTTAGTTAAATGTACAATGAAGCTAATAGACTGAAATAGTGACAATGAAGAAAGAAATGGTCCAGCGTTGGAGCCTGCTGGAGCGATGCAGCATTTTGGGGCAGCCTGGAACTCGGCCTCTGCTGACCGGCCTCAATGGTCCAGTCAGGTAAATCACATCCACACCATAAAAACCATCACCATACACGCAACACATACACACCTCCTGCCTGACCGTACCTTGAGACAGTCGTCGCCTCAGGTACAGGTAAGTCTTAATCCTCTCTATTTGACTAGCCTCCCCATTAAATTGTAGTAGGATAAAACATTTTCCATACAGCATAGTATTATAGGAAATTCTTCAATATAACCACTCGGGCTCGAACCTGCGGCTGCTCGTTGAATCTTACGCTCATGGGCCCCGGGAGATTCGACATTTGCAGAGGCAGCTGTAGGCCGCAACAACTGCTGTGTTTCGTATGGTGAGTGTAGAGAACCGGAGACACTTTTCACTGGAAAAAAAGCATTCCATCTTACTCCTCACGGATGACAACGCATCTGCATTTTGACTCGCTAACGAGGATAGATGTAGATGTCTATGGGCCACAGCAACCACTTACCATCAGGTGGACTGTGTGCTCGTTTGTCAGTTTTGTTCTATAAAAAAAAAACCTCCTATTGTCCCGAGGGTGTCGTAA